TTCTGGAACCAGTGCATGTGGTGAGTGCACACCCTAAGTTGAAAGGGCATGAGCAATTACTTGAAGAACTAAAAATAGTTCAGGCATGATGGATTGTGCAAACTGCAATAGTGATGGAAACACTATGGGTGTAAGGATATTTCGTGGCCTGAAAGCAGTGTTTAAATACAGTCAGTGAAAAGGGATGGCATTTAGCATTGTATTAGTAAGAACAGTCAAACATGATGCAAGTAAGTAACTAACAATAAGCAACACAATGTGCATGGCTTGCGTGGAAGTATCCAAGCTATGAAACTTAGAGGCACCTCACAGGTGGTGAAACTAGCCTTCGTGATTCCTCCATCACTGAGCACAGGACATCAGCATTAGATGTTTGCCCTGCGAGAGTGCGTTGTGCGTCTGAGAATGGCAAGTGCTCCCTGGGCCATTCTGCTACAGCTTGAGCAGGGCATCCCAGAACGCAGAGTCGGATTGGTTGCATTTCCATATGTGGCCAGAGTCAGAGGCTCCTGCTGTTTGATTAGACAGGTTGAGCTGCTCTAGCCAAGCACTGTCTGGTCCAGCAGCATCCATGGTCCGGCATGATTTTAGTGAGCCGGATGTCCACTTAGCATAGTGTGGTCAAGTGTCCCGTGGGCCCATAAAGTTTGTTTGCAGCCACCAGTCCTGGTTTTCAGGATATGTCTACACTATAGCCTCTCGTGCAAAAACATATGCAAATGAGCCGAAGCATGGAATATTGCCACACCTCATTTGCATGATTAATGAGGCTCTGTTTTTGCGCAAGAGGATTTTGTGCAAGAGCAGTTCTTCCTGGAAAAAATGTGGAAGAATGGCTCTTGCACAAGAGGGGGGGGGTTTGCGCAAAAAGCCTCTTGTGCAAAAAAATAGAGCCTCGTTAATTATGCAAATGAGGCATAGCGATATTTCATGCTTCGCCTCATTTGCATATTTCTTGCACCAAACGGGAGCCGTGTAGCCATAGCCTCAGGGTTCTGTGCTGTTAGCAAGCTCTGATTTACCCCTGCATGTCTTCTAAGAGCCCAGTCAGCTGTGGGAGTGTCCAGCAGCATTACCAACAATATTGACCTCCCATGGTCTGGCACATTCTTTGGTTTGGCACTGGTCAGGTCCCCTGCCAGACCAGAGCAATCCAACCTGTATAAACAAGATTGTTTTTCTCAGGCTTTATCCTGTCCTCTTCATCCCCACAAAGGAGATCATCAAAGCCAGCTCCTGCCCCTTTGGCTACCCTGCCGGAATTACGAGCAGGAATCTTACCGGAAAGGCCTCTTTATATTGCTGTTTGCATCCGTGTTCCAAACAGATGCACATCTACATTGCCCCCCCGCAATGTCAAGAAAACACTACAAGAGCCATACACCCTAAATGACACGATTTACCTTCACTCGCTTGTAATTGAAACGGCAGAACTTTGGAAAGAAGTTTTACTTTCTCTTCTGGAACAATGGGGACGTCCAGAAGGTTCCCAAAACACCACAGAGGGAGTCTGTCCCACTCGTCACATCTCCTTTCAGTGCTGAGCAGGCAAGTGTGTTGCCCTGGGAGCAGGTACGTGGTTATGGCGTGCCCAATCCCAATATGCCTTTGGAGAGTCCAAGCTGAACACTTCCTGCCAAGCACCAGCTGGTGCACAAAAAGGTGAATTTCCAGAAGGACAGAGAGTGGCACCAGAGACCCAACCTTCAGCTTGTCTCATGAGTGAAGGCCCCGCTACAGTTGTAAGGACAGGCATGATTATCAAAATTGCTAGAAAACACATTGATCTTTATTTTGTCCTCTAGAAACTGGTCTGCAGCTTCTCAGAGGGACTCATTAGTTTCCCACTTGCATCAAGAAGGAAGAGGGCAACAAATAAGTCCTTAGGGATCCATTAAATACAATTCACTACATAAAACATGGTGCAAAGCAACACCTAGAGGAAGAAGAAAGAGCCGATGACACAGTCCAGCCATGGATTGACTGCGATTTTTTTATTCCAATGCTGTAGGGTTTGCCAATGCAATGGGTGCTAGAGAAGTGTCTAAAGAGGGCACATATATTGCACAGGGCTTAGGATGAGACTAGGGCAAAATACTCTCAGCTGCAATTTCTCTGGCCGTTCCCCAGCCCGAGGACGGTTTTTCTTACTGTAGAAATGTTGTACCATGTGACTAGCCATGT